TTTGCTTGGGCATACCCCCCTTAGGGTACTACCTTCTACAATTAAACCCTAAGCTTTGGTCGAGAGAGAAAAGAGAGAGAGATAGAGGGTGGTGTGCCTGCCCTAGGGTTCAGAGAGAGAGAGAGAGAGGCTAATCAAAAGGTGTAGAGAAAAGAACCCCTAGAGAGTATTTATAATATAGAGCTTAGGCCTTTTTCATCATTATGAGACTCAATCTTGACCTTTGATCATGAAGACTTGTGGGGTGAAGAGATCTCATCCATTCATTCCAGCCATTATGATTAAAAGGAGTGAGGGTGGAACCATTATCCCTTAGTTTCCATAACTCTTCCTCTCAAATATTGTGTAGAGAAAATACTTTCTTTTTGCAAATCAATGTCAATTAATCTTTACACTTTCCTATTTGAAATCAATTAAATTCTCTACATTACACTTTCCTTTCTTTTTTCAATCAAGAAGGTGGCTTAGCATGCAAGCTACACAAAATAGGAAGAAGAAGGGAGTGGGGCACCCCACACATGGATAGCCATGTGGGCCTCATGCCCCAACTAGTTGACTTATTTGTGGTGGGCCCAAAGTCCCAATGGGTACCCACGCCCTATACTTCATTTTAGAATAATAAAAATATATTTATAAATCCATTACATAGTTTATTTTCTCTTTGAATTGAATAAATTCAGAAAATATCCAGAAAGGTTTAAAAATTCATTTTAACTATCTAAAATATAATTCAAACATAATTAAACATATTAAAGAAGATTTGATGGGAATTGGATCCAACGTTACGAATATAACAAATATACTGAGGTCTTTAAAAATTGTATCTCACAACACCTTCTCAAACTGACCCAATAGTTCCTATGACTCACAGCCCTTTGCAGGGGTTCATGATTGGACTATCAAATTCAGCCAATAAATGTAGGAGACATGATCTTAATCCATAGATTATAGATCCCTCCATGATGACAAGTCCATACCCCATTCCAACACTTTGCTCCATGGGTCCTTCCAACACAGTCCAATGTTGCAAGGAGTCATCTCTTTGGCACATATACACAATACACACCCTCATCTAAAGGGTCGTTTCTTGTATGTTTATTTAGTGTACATGCCGTGCGATGGTAATGATGAGGATTTTTGCCCTTGTCCTCGCCGACCACCAAGTACACATAGGGGTAACACCCAATCCCCTGGCCAACTACCCTCGACACAACTTTTATTTCATCAAGGGATTACCCTACATCATTAATTGTCCACCAAATGCCCAGGGCTATGGGTTTTTGACATAACCCTAAACCATAGCCAGCCAAAGTCTCGGCACTAATAATGGGTCACAATCCATTTGGACCACACTCCCACTAGAGCCAAATATACTGAGGCCTCCACCCTCTCTAGATACTGTATCTCATTGCACCTTCTCAAACTAACCCAACCGATCCCATGACCTACAACTAATCATAGGGGTTCATGCTTAGACTATTAAAGTCAGCTAATAAGTGGAAATAATACGATCTTGGTCCATGGATTACAGGTCCCTCCTTGAGGAGAAGTCTAGGCCCCATTCCAGCACTATGCTCTATGGGTCCTTCTAACACAGTTCAGTGTTGGAGGGAGTCATCTCTTTGGCACATACACAACACACACCCTCATTTAGAGGGCTACTTTCCAGACGATTATTTAGTGTACATGTTGTGTGATGGTAATGATGAGGATTTTGGCCCTTTTCCGGTCACCTATTACACACATGGGTGATACCCAGTCCCCTGGCCAACCGCTCTAAGCACAACTTCGACCTAATAAAGGGATAACCCTATATCAAAACCCTTATCGGTTGTGCACAAAATTCCCACGGCTATGGGTTTTTCATCACCTTAAGTTATAGCCAGTTAAAGCTCAGGTGAGTCTCAGCTCCAATAATGCCTCACAGTCCACAATCTGGAACACAGTTCCACTGGAGCCAACATATCACCATATATGATTTCATTACAATCTTTCATAAGGCCTTTAAATGGCCACATAATCCCAACACCCCCCCCATTCCAACACTTTGCTCCATGGGTCCTTCTAACATGGTCCAGTGTTGCATGGAGTTATCTTTTTGGCACATGTACACAATGCACACCCTCATCTAAAGAGTCGTTTCCTGTATGTTTATCTAGTGTACATGCCGTGTGATGGTAATGATGAAGATTTTTGCTCTTATCCTCTCCGACCACCCAGCAAACACCCAATCCCCTGGCCAACTGCCCTCGGCACAACTCTGATTTCATCAAGGGATTACCCTACATCATTAATTGTCCACCAAATGCTCAGGGCTATGGGTTTTTGACATAACCCTAAACCATAGCCAGCCAAAGTCTCGGCACTAATAATGGGTCACAATCCATTTGGACCACACTTCCACTAGAGCCAAATATACTGAGGCCTCCACCCTCTCTAGATACTGTATCTCATTGCACTTTCTCAAACTGACCTAACCGATCCCATGACCCATAACTAATCATAGGGGTTCATGCTTAGACTATTAAAGTCAGCTAATAAGTGCAAATAATACAATCTTGGTCCATGGATTACAGGTCCCTCCCTGAAGAGAAGTCTAGGCCCCATTCCAGTACTATGCTTTATGGGTCCTTCTAACACAGTTCAGTGTTGGAGGGAGTCATCTCTTTGGCACATACACAACACACACCCTCATCTAAAGGGCTTCTTTCCAGACGATTATTTAGTGTACATGTCGTGTGATGGTAATGATGAGAATTTGGGACCTTTTCCGATCACCCATTACACACATGGGTGATACCCAGTCCCCTGGCCAACCGCTCTAGGCACAACTTCGACGTAATCAAGGGATAACCCTATATCGTAACCCTTATCGGTTGTGCACAAAATTCCCACGGCTATGGGTTTTTCATCACCCTAAGTTATAGCCACTTAAAGCTCAAGTGAGTCTCAGCTCCAATAATGCCTCACAGTCCAATCTGGAACACAGTCCCACTGGAGCCAACATATCACCATATATGATTTCATTACAATCTTTCATAAGGCCTTTAAATGGCCACATAATCCCAACCCCCCGCCCCTCCCCCCCTCCCACCCTCCCCCCCCCCCCCTCCAATCTAAAACCAACTTGGATGATTTCGAGTCGGCTCGCAGTTTTCAACTGCTAGTGCAAATCCCAACCCTGATAATAGAAAACAAAAATTGTCGACAAGTGGTTAGCTAGTTAATTGTTAGAATGCAAAATAGCACAAAATCAACAATGTCACGTTTAAAATTCAAAACTAGAACTTTAAACTAGGATCTGTCCCCATTTTCAATGGGGTCAGGATTCCGCCTCCATAAGGTTCAAGAGCCCTTTTAGTCAACGATTGAGATCCTTATAAGATGGGGTTCTACATCCCTTGATTTGGGGGCTTTCCCAGGGGCATTGCCACCCCAAACCAAGCTTCCACAACTATTCCCAAAATCTTGAGAATAGAATCTTCCCTGTTTGAACCTTATGTGTTTTAGTGTCCCAATCCGTCTATAAAATATTCATGACAGTTTTGACATCCCTTTTCTTATCTCAAGTGGACCACATTTAAGCTGGATCTTTGTTGCGCATTGTTTAGTGCTTGGTGCTATTTATGCTTGTACGATGATGAGAAACTTGAGCTTCATGTTGAGGGACCTTCGCAAAGGGTTTAGCCTCCTGAGGACAATTATTTCCATTTTCTAGTTTTCTTTATACCTAATGTTTCATTTGTTTCAATCAAGTCAGACTTCGAAATGGTTATACCCACCTAATGATAGCTGGTCAGGTCTTCTTGTTTTCGATTTGATAGAATTCATTTTTGGCTGGACATATCTCTGCTTTTTCACACGAAAGTCATGGGTAGCTTTTCAAATTACTCTTCCAAAGTCTGTTATTTAAAGTTAGCGAACTGTTAATTGCCTATGGTCCGTAGATTTTGTCATGTTGTGTGATCCCTCTTGTTCCACATTGTATACTAGAAATCCCCAACAATGAACTCATCGGAAATCTGAAAGATAACTTGCACCGAAAAATAATGTACTCCTTGTAAATCTGACAAAAGAAATGGATGAGTAGTATGTTCAGCATGAGTAGGAGCTTACTCTTTGTACTTCAAATGATGGTTCATATTCTCATGTACCAGGATACTTTTACTTTGCCATCTGTTTATCATGCTGAATTTATACTTCCTCAGAGTCTGTTTATTATAAGTTTCTTTGATTTGATAAACATTATTTTCTCAAAACCTTGGAGCTGCATGGAACGAAGATTTTGTATATTTTAGAATCTCTAGCATCTCTGATAGGAATTTCACCACATTCTCTTTTAAAACTTTTGTTGGTTCCTGCATAATTTATAGAGGTACATATCTTTTTGGGGAGTCTGATATAGATAGTTGCCTAACTCTTCAGTGATACATGATTTACGTGAGCGCATGATAAAAAAATGAAATGCTTAGTGCACAGACCATTTTCAGAGTAATCTGCAGAACATTCAAAATCTTCAATCTAAGCATTGCATGTGCTGGGTTTATTCTCACTGCCTACCTACCAAAAAACAGAAAAGACATTGCATGTACATATAAATACACACTTGATCAGTGCACAGAAACATGCATATAAGCATACCATTCTTCTTCATTTTGTTGATTTGTCATGATGTTGCCCAGTGTATTTCTTTCTTATTTTGAGTTATGTATGTGTTGATTGACCATGTTGTATTTTAATTAGAAGATGTTTTATTAAGTACAAAAATCCTTCGGCTTCTAAGTTTCTTTCCTCTCTCAAGCATCATGCTGAAGTTTTAGTCCCATATTCAAAGATCATTTCGCAGTTCCACATTTACAAATTTTCTCATTCATTTGGATATGGGTCTCCTTTAACTATTTTTAGCTTCTATTATAATTGGATGATTTTAAGGGGATTGTTCTTATTTATAGGAAGTCAAGAAGTATAGGTTTGAAAGTTCTTTAATTTTTCCATTGCAGGTACTCTAGACTTCTCTCAAGTGTACAGTTTCATCGGCGGCATATTTGACCCACATGTGAGTGGTCATTTGCAGAAACTGAAGGAGATGGATTCTGTAAATGTTGAAACAGTAAGTTTCATGATTATTCTGAATATTCTTAGGATGGTTCCTATCCTGTTGCTTTTAATAGTTGCATTTCAATGGAACTTTTAATTGTTTCACTATGGAAACTTTCTCCATGGTAAGTACTAGATATATATAAAATGGAATAATCTCAAATACAAGAATAGTATGTTTGTAAGTTATTTTTTATCATCAAAATGGTAAAAGAGGCTGCTCACAGCTAGTTTCTTAAGAGGCTAGTTTCCTTCAGAGTGTTTTAGAAACGGAAAACTTTTAATAGTTATATCTTCGGCAAACCCTGCACTTTCGATAGGCAAAAAGGACTTATGTTATGGACATGCAGAGATGTATTAGAAATAACTAATTATTGTGAAGGTTAACATTCTCAAAAAAAAAAAATTATATATATATATATATATATATACAATTATTATTGTGTTTGAGGGTATGAGTGGCTTTTATTGTTGTTTAGGACTTATATGTCCTATTTCACTTCTTATGCGCAATATATTGTACTTGATATATTTTATTAATACAAAAGGAGTACGTGATGGTTAGACTCTCTCTCTCTCTTCTTCTTCTCTTCCTTCTTCCTCCTCTTTCCCTCCCCTACTACTCTCGAATAACTCCTTTTTATTTTTCTCCGCTTTGATTGATTTGTCCTCTATTGCTTCCAACTTGGTATCAGAGCATCGAAGAAAAGTTGCGGAGATATGATTTCGGGCTGATGTCATCTATATGGTTAGATGGCTGTTTGGGGGTATTGTCTCAAATAAAATGTCACCAGATTCAAGGAGTGACAATGTCTTGCCAAATAAATTCCCTGCATGATAACTGTTGGAATACCTAAGGAACCACTGGAATTGGCTACAGTGGGTAAAACGCAAGCCTCATAATAAATCCAAAGGTAAAATATCCCCTTAATATGTTGAAAGGAAGCTCCCTGCGAAAAACAAGAAAGATCTGAGCCCAATCATGCCCAAATCACCAATTGGAGGCTCTAGAATGAGGTAGGATCAAACTTGGGTCAAAGGAGATCGAAATAATAATCAAACCATTGAATCCTTAATCCAAGGCACCCTGAGGCTACCCTTCAAAACCAGGCCAATCCCATGCCGAATAACCAAGATATGGCTTGATGAAACTCAACCGTCCATCCCACAGCATCAATCTAATATTCAGAGATAGGGTACAGTTAAATTCATGTCAAATTGGGTCGAACTAGCGATTAGAGAGTTTTAAATTTCAATCTAAGGTTCCATGATATCATTGTCCAAAAATCAGACCGATTTGATAGAGGATAACCCAAATATAGCCCGACAAAGCTCAATTGTCCATCTCATGACATTGATCCAAGGCCAATTTCCGGAAACTCCTGAAGACATAAAAATCTAAATGGCCTAAGAACTTATGGATTAAATTTATTGACATAATTAGGCTACAATCCAAATTTGAGCTCAATTTGATATTGGATGAGAGAGATATAGCTTCTCAAACGCCTTGGACCACAGGTAGGGTCCACTTAAATCAGTCCAACTTTACAAAGGGACCCAAGAAATAAGTAGCCAATAAGCTTCAAATTTTTCTGGGAGGAAGTTGATGATGAGGAAATCCTTTCATAAAAATTTCAGGCAAATTTGATGCCCAGAAGTGCCTTTTTAGCATTTAATGCACCATATGGACCACACAAAAGAAAAGCAAACCATACTTTTGTTTGTACATATTCTTGAAGCACCCTCCCCCTACTTGAATAACGGAGGAAATGGTTGCAACTATCACTCTTAGGCACCAAATATGCCCAAAAATCCACGGAAGCATATGCATAATAATGCATGTACCTTGAAGAGCCCCTATATGACCTTATCTAGACCCAAGGAAGAGACAAAGGTGGGCGTTATTGCCCCAAAGATACTCCCCAAATTTCAGCCTGATTGGGCATGACAACAAACAGGAAGATGAGATAAAGGAGTACGGTACACCACGGGTGTAGGGGTAGTCAAGGCAAAGAGAACAGTAAAACTCTTAGAATTTGACTTTAGATGGCTTTAGAACTGTCACATATGAATTCAGAAGGCAGGAACCCCAAACTCCTGAATTTCACACCAAATAGGGATGTTTTCACACTATTCAGGATTTTACAGCTGATACCGTCTACCAAATATAGTAAAATCCTGAATGCTTCCTCAAAATTGGGCAAACTTTACTCCCTTGTATCTCACGATTCGCAAGTTGTATTGGGTTGAAATTTGGATATGTTGTGCCCTTCAACGAGCACGTCCTTTTGGTATAGGCCTCGCACATGATTGTTGGTCCGGTCAAAAGAAATCTCTGAGAGAAATCCTCAAGTTTTGAAGTTCATGCAAAAACCAGTTTGTGTGACCTTGTCACACTTCTTCGATCATAAGTTGACATCTGACTATCGACTTGAGTTTAAATCTGGTGCATTTCGATCGTGACTCGATTATCTTTGAAATGGCATAAGTATAATCAGGATTGGGATTTGGATCGATGGCCATCCGAGGCTCGAAAGTGGTGCAACTTTATGTGTAGTAGGACTTTGGTTTTCCGGCAACTCAGCCGATCAGAGGTCTTTTCATGTGCTTTTTGATGTAAAATGTTCGTGATGAGGTCCCCTTCAATTTGTCACTGAAAAATCCACCATAAATCTGGGATTTTTGAAGCAATCAATGGAAGAGTATCAAGAAAGATTTGCTGAAAACCATAAAACACAAAACTACCAAAAACTCCCATCAAATCTTCATGGTTCCTTTCAAATCATATATCAAGGCGATCTACATTTTTCCGGTGATATTCGCCCATTCTAGTGTCAGAGAAGCCGAAAAGAAATCTTCTTACTATGTGGAAGGGAAGAGTTCCTCTTTGAGGGACCTAATCGTCAATTTTGGACATTGTTCATGTCCTTTTTGGTTAATTTTTCATTACCCAAATTTTGTTTTATTTTCCATCTTTTTCTTTTTACTCAATTCTCTAAGGTTTTGAGCATCCACCATTGCTTAAAGGGGGAGCTCTATAGAAACCCCGTTACTGATGTAACTAAAATAGTACTAAAAGAGGTTTCTTTTTGCCTTGTGGTTAATGAAATTCTATCACTTTGAAAGAGGAGAATGAAAGCTTATGTACAAAGAGTTCTTGCCCTTACCCTATACCTAATTCTAGGTTAACCATTCCCTATTTAGCTTAACCAAGCCCTAAGCTACCTTGGTTAAGTTTCTACACTTGACCAAGGGTTACCCAAACCCTAATCCTAATCTAACCATACCCCATTTTGTACCACACACCATATCCCATACTCTACCATACACCATACCTCGTACTCCACTATACTCCACACCCCTTACCCCACCATACTCCATATTCCATATTCTACTATAGTCTATATCCTACACTGTATGATACTCCCTACTTCAACCTATAGTTACCCGAATCGCCTATTGAGGTTGTGATTCCGGTTTGGTATCGCGATGCCATGTTTCTCAAGGCGAAACTCGATTATGAAAGAAAGGAATCGCGTTTCCAAGTTTCTCAAAACATTCATTTAAGTATATGAATCTCCATTCTTGGAAGCTTGGAATCAATGTTCCATATCGTAGAATTTGTGATTCCTAGCTACACAACAATGCAATTCTACATGTGTGAGATGTTGATTCCAATTAGTTAGGAATTGCAATCCATGTTGTTTGGAAGCAAGTTCCACTTCATTAAAAAACGTGGTTCGTAAATACACTGAATAATGTTTCGATCAACATCGAATCAAGTTCTAATGGCACGGATTCAAGATTCAAATACAAATGATGAATGAAATGCATTCACAAATTGTATGTTGCGAAATAGCTCCATGAATCCATTCTATGTTACTAGAGGAGTTTCAGGAACCCATTTGTATCAAGTTACAATTTTCTACAAGGTTAAAATTAAATACCCATGAGCTGGGTTTCGAGACTGTGATGTTGTGAGGGCCAAAAAACCTTAGAAAGTTATAAGGCGAATCCATTTACAATAATCTCTACCCACTTACCGAGCATAAATATTATTAAAAAAATTGTTACTTCAAATTTAATAGTTTTTGGTAAATGTTGTGCGTACTAATGTTATATTGTTTGATATATGATGGGTACTATGATACGCTACACTGTTTTACATTAAATTAATCTTCAAATATTAGAAATTGAATTAAAATTGAATAACTCAATTTTCAAAACTACATTTAAATAAAGGAGAATTTCTATTTCTATAATTCAAGAAAGAAGATAGAGGGAGCTCGCCGTTGTTCTCACTACTTGTATTTCGTAGACCAAGTCCAGGGTCTTAGTAGGCGGAGGATTGTTGGTAGACCAAGTCCAATGTATGGGATTGTTGACAAAGATTTCATAACAAGGTTGCCATTCGTAATTGGACTAAATATATGTAGACCAAAATTCAATCTTGTAAATAATAATAAAATTTAAAATTTTCTTAATATTTCTCTCATATACTTGAGGGGACTGGTGCGCGATTTCTGAATGGGGAGAATCTAGATTCATGAATGATGAGAATCTTGATTTCAAGTCGATGGGAAAACGATTCCGCAAATTTAGGAATCACAATTCCAATCTCATCGAATTGAGATTCGAGAAGGCACTGAATGGTGTTGAGTCATGTGCGATTCCTGAAAGGTAAGAAACTCGATTCCAACATAATGGGACACTTATTCCTACGAATAAGAAAGACAATTTCTATTTTATTGGATCGCAATTTCAATTTAGTGCGAATCATGATTCGATGATTTGAATTGTACGGACAACAATTCCAAGATTAAGAATCATCTGATCCATGCGATTCTGATTCCTAAAACAATTCGGAATCACAGGCATTTCCAACAACTATATTTCAATCTATCCCACTTAGCCTAGGTTAGCCCTTAAGGAGGCTTTTCCAAGGCAACGCCTCGTCGGGTTTAGTACCCGCATCGGACCCTGCCAGCGGACTCTTCTGGGGTGCTTTGGCTG